TATTTGAACGGAGTCCAACATATAGTTTGTTATCTTAAAGGTAAATGGACATGAGTTTGTTTATTTCAAAGTATCCAAATTATAATTAACAAATTATGCAGAAATAAGTCACTTGTCAAATCCTTATAATGGTACATTACACAAATTGTTTGTTTATCAAATTCTCATAATGATATAACTATTTCTTGGAGACCTGTGAAATAAATAACAACAACAACTTCATTAATTATGAAGAAATTTTTAGCACTACATGAGGCAAGTCAATGATGTGTTTGACTGAGAACCCAAACTCAACACACACAAAAGACTTATGGGTTGACTTTTGGAAAAAGAAATACAACAACTAATAATGAAGATAACACTACGTGCATTATTGAATTGAAAGATGATTACATTAAAGGAGATCAAAGAAAACATGTTTCTTAAAAGTTCTTTTTCACTCATGATCTTCAGAAAAGTGGTGATATAATCTCCAAAAAATTTGTTCATGTGGTAATATTACAGACCTTGTTATGCAAAAGATTGAGCTTCATCATAGAAGAAATTATTGTTCAGCTGGGGCAGAACTGAATTTGTTCAGCAGAGGGGGAGAAATGAATTTTTCTTATAAGGATGTGTATTCTTTTTCCTTCACTAGATTTTTTTCCATTGAGTTTTTTCTAGTAATGTTTTAACGAGGCAAGTCCTAAACAAGCATCCGAGGAGGACTGTTATGAATAATGGATGACTGTCTCCCTATAATTTTATTTTTTCTTTGTAATAATCTGTATTGATTAATAATGAGGTAGTTCCCTCATAAAGAATATTGTACTCTTTTTCCTTCTCTAGAATTTTTTCCCATTAGGTTTTCTCTAGTAAGGTTTTAACGATACATTTTATTTATGGACATCCAAGGGGGAATGTTATAAATGATCTAATTATGGATGTCCATCAATTGAGAGATTTCATATTGATTTTCCATTTATTACATATGTTTTATAAATATGACTCATATTGTACTTGAAACATAGACTAAGAATATGAGTAATAGAGTATACTCTCTTCTTCTATTTCTTTCTTCTATTGTTTTATTTAGATTTCATAACATATTGTATATTTTCAATTCATTATTTTATTGAGAATGTAATTCATTGTTTCAATTCTTTTGTGAGATTTTAAAAAAAAAAAATTCCATTCTTTAAAGAGATATTTAATACATAGGTAATATTTTCTAAAATAATTTATATTTTTTTTTAAATTTTATTCACTTATTATTTCAACCTGAAATGTAATAGATAGAAATTTTTTTAATCTTTGTAGGGAAATTAAATTCATTAGGACAAAATTCTATTAAAAATGTATTCTAAAATTATATATATTATTTATAAATTTTTAAATACTTGTAATTTAAACCTAAAATTTTAAATACTTGTTTTAAAATGAATTCTAAAATTATATATATATATATATATATATATATATATATATATATATATATATATATATATATATATATATATATATATATATATATATATATATATATATATATATATATATATATATATATATATATATATATATATATATATATATATATATATATATATATATATATATATATATATATATATATATATATATATATATATATTTTTTTTTTTTTTTTTTTTTTTTTGAGGTTTTTCTATTATTCGTAGGAGTATTCTTAAACCCGAAATTCTAAATGTTTTTAAAATATATTTTACAATTGTATATAAAATTTAAATACTTGTTTTTTTATTTGAGGTTTTTCAATTATTTGTTAGAGAATTCAATTCATATATTTTGAAATTATTATTAACTTTAAATTTTTAAAATTGTACGAATTAAATTATTATTAATTTTATTTAGGTTATATATATATATATATATATATATATATATATATATATATATATATATATATATATATATATATATATATATATATATATATATATATATATATATATATATATATATATATATATATATATATATATATATATATATATATATATATATATATATATATATATATATATATATATATATATATATATATATATATATATATATATATAATGGGTTAGTAATTGACTATATATATAATTGACTATATATTTTTAGAAATGAGATTTTTTTAATGTAGGGATATTAAATTCATTAGGTCAAAATTCTATTAAAAATATATTCTAAAATTATTTATATTATTTTTAAAATTTTAAACACTTATAATTTAAACCTACAACTTTAAATACTTATTTTTAAATGGATTCAAAAATTATATATGTAATTTAAATACTTATGTTTTTGAGGTTTTTCTATTATTCGTAGGAGTATTCTTAAACCTAAAATTTTAAATACTTATTTTAAAAATATACTCTAAAATTATATATAAAATTTAAATACTTATTTTTTATGGTTTTTTTTTTAATTATTTGTTGGAGAATTCAATTCATATTTTTTGAAATTGTTATTAATTTTAAAATTTTAAGATTGTTCAAATTAAATTATCGCAATACCCTGAATCTCCAACGCCGATAATTGTCATTTGAATTGGTTAAATGGTAATTGGAAGGTACAATTGACTTTGTCACTTAATATCTTCTTATTAGTAATCCAATAATCCTAAGAAAATGGTTAGAATGGAACGAAATGACAAATTGGTAATTGTGGCATAGTTGGAGGGGATTGTTGTATTTGTACCAATTAAATGATTCAACAACAAGGGCTTGTTTAGCTTCATTACAAATCCTAAATGAGAAAGGAGTAAGAACTCATGTTCATCATCTTCATGTTTCATTTTCGCACCTTTGGTACAACTTCCATGAAAAAGGTAATAACTCCTTACTTGTAACTCGGAATTAAGTCATTCTTGACATTTTGGAAAGTAGACGGAATTTCCTTCATTTTGCATATAAACTTTGAAAATTGCAAGTTTGTCATGCGGGAGATAAGCGTGTTTGAAGTTGGAAGTTCATGCGGAAAGTGGGTAAGAAAAAGATACGGGTTTGATAATTATGGAAGTGGAGCTTTGATCAAGAAAGAACCTTAAGAGAAGCATTATCATCATATTCATTTCTCCAACTTAGAATCTTGAAGCATGAGGTGAGTTCTTAAATAGGAATTAAGGTATTGGGTTTTGTATGAATTGGGATTAAGGGTTTCTGAGAATTTTCCCGCAATGTATCGGTGAATGGATATTTTTGTGGATTATTGTTGTTGCATGTACTATTTTCCATGTGCGTTGGTTCTCTAATCATGTTAGTATAAGTTGTAGATGAATGCGTGATAAATTGGAATGCCAAAATTGGAGTTAGGAACTGATTTTCGTGTACTGCTACTGTTAAAGTTCGCTTAGTGAACTCTGTTTCGCTTAGCGAAAATTTGCAGACGAACCAAATATGCATTTCACTAAAATTAGCATATCTTGAGTTTTACTTCTTGAAATGTAGTATGGTCGGTAGTGTTGAAAAGGTATTTTAATGCTACTTTTGAATATGTTTAGACATCATGCTTTTAGCTCAGTTTGTGATACATGGAAAATAAATATTGTGTTGCATGATGTTGAATAAGTATAATTGGCATTGGGATCATGTCAACATGATGCTACCTCTTGTGTTATTCTCATGCCATGTTGTCAAACCTTGTTTATACATGTTGTATAGTTCCCTCTTGACCATTGTTGGTGGGTTCATGATGTAGTTGTTAAGTTCTAGTGCATATTGGGAAAGTTTTGGTTTTTCTCTGTGCAGGTACTTTCGCTTAGCAAACTTTATTTTGCTCGGTGAAACTCCGAATTCAGAAATGGGAAGAGTTTCTGTTTGATTTTGCTGGGACTTTGCTTAGATAAGTGTTGCAACTGGTTTTCAAATAGAGTCGCCACCCTTAATTTTTATCCTAAAGGAAGGGAGTATAAAGGAATAACCCTAAAGTTCAAAGATTCTAGATTTGGACTCGGTTCTAGACGAGGGGAAGGTGTTAGGCACCCCTTATCTACCTTGTTCGCAAGGATACTATGTTTAGAAGCGCAATGTTTTAGGAAATAAGACTTTAATTACTTAATTGGAAAAAAGGGTTTGAATTTTTAGTTAGCGGGAATCGCCACGATTTTGATCGTATGCCTACGTATCCACTTAGGAGGAATCAGAGTCACATTTCGTAGTTTGCCGTTGATTTGTGTTTTTTATGGATTGTGAAATATATTTGAATCTCCCGCATATGTAGTATAAGATTGTGAATATCGGAGTTTGTTAGACCAAGTACGTAGTTGATTTAAATATATTCGTATTCATTTTTCGAAAATTAATGTTGAATTAATTTATTATGAAAAATAATTTGATGTTTGTTTGAGTATTTTTTAGACGTATAGCAAAGGAGTCTGATATAGTCTCCTCATCACGTGGCTAGATATTGGCCACGTGTCGCTTGCAGATGTAGTAATTTGGTGAATCGCGCGGGTTTTAATATTTTGATGTAAAATATTAAATTAGTTTATATGGTGAAAAATGTTTTTTACGTACATGATTTAAAAAGATACGATTTATTACAGATAAATAATATTGTGTTTTAAGTGAGTTTAAAATAATTAATTATTTAGAATAACAAATAATAATATAATGTTATAAAAATAAAAATATATAAATATATAAATACTGAAGAAAAAAATATATAAAAATAAATTAGTTGGGGCTGCTAATTATATTATGGCAGTAAAATTATAGGGGTGTTATTACGAAGTGCCTGAATTCCGGTTTTGAATTTAGACCATGAGGCCAAGGGGGTGCGTTCTAATGCTACGTAGTAAAAGTAGGGGGTGGGTTCAAAAATGAATGTAGTAGTAAGAACCAAACAAAGGAGGGCGTGGATAGTGAATGGACCTGGCCCAAAGGGTAAATTGTTTGAGGGAGAGGTCCGTTGGGGGGGGGGGGGGGGGGGTGGTGGTGGTGGTGGTGGTGGTGGTGGGGGGGTGGTGGTGGTTGGGGGTGGTAGGAATTATGGTGGTCGTGTGCATCTTAGGGACGTGTGATTTGCGTGTATTGGATGATGAAGCTTTATTATATTTTCTTTTTCAAAACAAAATAATAAAATTTTCTTTTATGTTATATTCCTTCTCTATATCTCTCAGCATCACATCCCTCCTCCTTCTTCCCCAAACCCAAACCCTTAGCTCAAACTAGTCGCGGCGGCGGCCTCCCTCTTTGCTTACCCAGATCGTACCGAAGCCAACCACAAATGCCCAAATCCCTCAAACACTCATCACAACTATATAGTTATAGCAGAAATCATAAAGGGGCTAAGCATTAACAAACCTCTATCTAACCTCCTATTTCATTCGTATTGCAGGCTCGGAAGCTTCGAGGAAGAAGATGCTAAATGAGTCGCGGCGGAGATCGTAAGGAATTGGCGGAAGTGAGGGTTTGAGAATGGTAATCACGGAGGTGGCGAGTTGTTCCTCTTCTGTATATGTTCTTTTTCTTCACTGTTTTTATGTTTCTTCTCCTATTGTAATCTTCAATTTATAGTTTTTTAGATTTTAGCAAAATAGGAAGAAAAGTTACGTGTCTATGATTTCAATTTTTAGACTTAATTAGGGTTTTCAGAATTAGGAATTTTTTTGAATTGTTGTTTGTAATTTAAGAACACTGCTTCTAATTTTTATATTTGTAATGAATTTGTTTCCAGTTTTAGTTGATTCTCATTCCTGAATTAAGGTTTTGATTAGAAAAGCATGGTTTATTTTACATGCGCATGCCTTGATCGCTATAGTGGACGTTTGTGATTTTGATTTGGGCCATACGTTTGAAATAACCGTTTTTATTTTTTTTTTAAAATGGGCTTGCGTACTAGATTTGGGCTAGGAAATAGATGTCATTTAAATACAGTAAAAATGATATAATATTTAAACATAAAAAAAAATCTTCAAAACAAATCCAAAAGAGACTCGAAATGGGTCTGGCTTTTGGGCTTTGGATCAGAAAGACTTGTAACACTTTTCTTTCATCACATCTAAATAAATGTAAATAAAATAAGATTTAATTATAATTAATAAAACTAATAATGATAATCAATAATGTTGGTAACAATCGGTAGCAAAGCAGTTTCAAAATAGCCCCAACAAAAAACGATCAAAGGTTTAGATTATTGGACCTAGCAGAAATAAATAAAAATGCTTATGGGCCCTTTTTGAAAATCACACACCCCCTAATCTTAAAAAAAACTTTAACAAGTTAGTGGGATGGTCTGGAAATTCTAATGGGCCAAATTGTTTCGATTCATTAGATTTTAAACAAAAACAAATTGTTTTATCAAAAGTCTAAATGGGCTTCTTTTTTTTTTTTTTGAAATATTGGGTTTCGAGCAAAATGAATTTGTTCACATCATTTTTGAAATAAAACACCTCCCTTAACTAGAACTAGGCTCTTATTTTTTAAAACCCCAATGAGCCATCAGATATTGATGGTCCATCTCAAATTGACACATCTCTCTCTCTCTCTCATGTTCTGACCCCCATACAAAAACAAAAGTTAAATAATACGATTTATTTAAAGAAAACCTAAATATGATTTAAGGGTGGGGCAAATTTGGGGTATGACACTAAGTATCCTTTGCTACTTGTTCACTTAGAAAACTTCCCTTGATAGAATTGTATGTTTGATTCCCCCGAGTGCAGTCTTATTCCGTATCGTGAATCAGACGCCTCCTTTGTCTCTTATGACTCATAGTATGTGTTGTGGATTGAAAAATGCTATGATATGATCACTTGTATAGAACTCTTATATGTATGCTTAAGTAAATGCATTATGTTAATAAATGTTGTGGTGTGATCATTGCTTGTTGTGTTCCTGTTTGTTCTGGTTGAACGTTCACATGTGGTTGTGACGTATGCTTGAATCAGAGTAGGCCTAAGCTACTAGGTGGTAAATCACATGATGATGATGGACTTGGTTACAATGGAATACTGTAGCGATGTGCTTGTTAGGGTCTTAAAGGGCGTTTCCCACTTGTTGTTCACATCGGCGTTATTGATATATTGTACACACCTTAGCTACCATTGTGATGTGCTTGTGGGGGTCTTATAGGGCATTTCCCCACTCACTGTTCACATTTGTGTGCTTGGTATGGTGGGGTTGTGATGCCATGTAGGAAGTATCACTTGGGACTCGCCTTTAGTGATGCCACATAGGCAATATCACTAGGCTTTCGCCCGATGGGCTTGTGCAGTCATGATAGCGTGTTTGCACTCGTTGTTCACACCTGTGTGTAGATGATTGACGGGGTTGTGATGCCACTTAGGCAATGTCACTTTGTTAACTCGCCACAGATGGGATTGTGATCCAAGTAGGAATCAATCACTTTCTACTCATTTGTTTCATTGTACTGCATGCCTGTGTAAGACTCTCGATGCTAGGCACTTGGAATACTTATCGAGGGTGTGGTTGTGTGGCCTAGGCAGCAGGAAAATACTACTTATGAATTCCTCGTACACGGGTACGGGTCTGGATACTTGTTTGTACTAACCTTGTGTGAGGTGGGCCAGTTTCCGATAGTAGAAAGGCATGCAAACTCGAAGGACCCGACCTTGAGGGTAACTCCCGACAGAAAGAGGGCAGGTAAACCTGGAAGACCAGTTCTGGAGGAAATTGGCACCTAATGACCTGTGTGTGTGATTGATAATTGGGTGGTAAATGGACTCCAAGTTGTGGTGCTATGTATTATTGTGTATTCTTGTACTTTACTGTGAGGAAACCCTAAATTGATGGAGGATCCGTTTTGATGCATGAACCTTGTAGAACTGAGTGAACCCATAGGATAAGAGGACTCACTATGATTTAGTAATCTCACACCAATCCTATTATTATTTTTCTGGCATGGGTTATGAGTGACATAATTGCTAGATGGTCTACATTGAAGAATGATGATGAGAAGATAACAGGAAGACCTCATCAGATCTTATCATTCCGCTGTGCATTATTATAGACAGACTAATTTTGTACACTATAGCTGAAGAGTTGAATTGTATACGATTCTAGTTTTGTCATTTTCTTGCTTAGTATGTTTTCATTTACCATATTATAAAATCTCTATATATTATTCTAGACATATATGTACGGGGTGTTACAATTGCTTTCAGAGCAGGTCGATTCTTGACTCTACCATGGAACATCACTAGCAATTCTATTCTCTCTCACATTTGTGTGTTTCTAGCCTAATTTTTACTGTTATAATATTAAGTTGTTGAGCCTGATCACCTCACCGACTGCATACGTGATGGATAGGATCATGGTGGATCCCCCACGAAGATGCGTCATATCCGAAACGACTCGAGCTGAAGTAATAGAAGTTGGTAAGAAGGAGAATGTTGGGATTGTGAGGCATAAGTGGAGGGTTTGACGCAGAATAGTAGAAGGCCCCAAATGTCGTGGTATGCCTTAAGGCAACTGGTAAGCTTCAATATACCACACTTAACTCTAGAAGAACTCTCTTCACAAATAAAACTCATATCTCAAAATTTTTCAATCATTTATAATTCCCGTGCAATCAACATCGACGTTGCTATACCCCAATTTTTGCCACTAAGACTTTTTCACCATCTCACTTTTATCAATACAACAAGATCACACATTAATGTTGGTTCTCCCTATTTTCATCCTATCTTTAATTTGGCCCATGAGGGATCACCAAGCACCTTGAAGTGTGCATCTTGTACACGTGTTCTTTAAACTAACATCAAAATATGTATATATGTTTCTTTGAATGTTCATATTGTAGGTGGTGATACAATTGAATTCATCTCCCCATCTAACCTAGGGTTTAAGGGTTGGTTCTCAATCAAATGAATTTTCAATGGATTACAAGAGTTCAAGTTTCAAGGATATGTCCATGATATCAAACATTTGTGGTTCAAGGAGTTCTCTCACCTTATTTAGGTCAAATTTCCTAAAAGTTGGTGTTGATATTCATCAAAGAGATAGGTTCATGTGTTTATTTCCATGCCTTTTCAACAAGCTTCACTGAGACTTAAGCTCTATCTTTGAGTGTGCTTCATGATAATAACATTTCAAGACCTATTATGATTCAACATGCTTTATATTGCCAATAAAGATCAAAAGATTCAAGGTTGGTTCAACAAGTTTGACCTAATTAAGAAAATGCTTGATTTAGTGATCACAAGTGCATAACTCTCTCAATTTTCAATATTTTTAGTTGATTTTTTTATATAGATTCTTATCATCATAAACAACTACCTATCTTCACATGACAAGATCCAATTGTGCAAGAAAAATCATCAAAAGTTGAAAGGGAATTCAATTCATTTTGAAACTCTCTGAGCTAGGGTTTGTTGACTTCTAAGGACCATATCTTGCTCATTGTTTGAGATTTTGGATTGGTTCCAAATCCATCTTTCTCTATAAAAGGTCCTTAATAAGCTCTCTTCAGAAATCTAAGGCTAATTTTGAAAGGAAGATCACTAATAGTTGAGAAAGATTACAAGTCTCCTTGAAAGGCCTTTGAATTTCGGGGTTTGACATCAAATGATAATAACTTGGTCAATTTTTATCTCCTTGAGCCCATTCTTTTTCCATAATAATCTTTTGGATGTCTACTATAACATTGTTTTCATGTGCAAGACATGAGAATGATTGGAAAATGGTTGAAGAATTGAAAAGATTATAGGTCTTTTGTGAATTTCCCTAAATTTTCTCATCATCTTCCAAAGACCATAACTCTTTTAATTTTTATGATTTTTGAAGTGATCTCAATTCCACACTTAAATTCAAGAGGTCAACTTCATGCCATCTTCAGATATCAAGATCAAATTTTGAGTAAAAATTCATGTAATTTTGAAGATCATTATAGGTCATTTTGAACATAACTTTCTATTGGACATAACTTTCTTCTCAAGCATCCAAATGAAGTCTTTCTTGGAACATTGTAAATATTGTGACATGGTATTTCAAATGCTTCAAGAATTATGTCATAAAGCCTCTTGAGTTGGGTGCACCATGGATTTAAATTTGGCACCTTGAAACTGATTTTGTCAAAACAGTCAGATTTTGATTTTCATAATGTGGCTTCTAAACACCAATTTCGTGCGTGTTTTCCACTTAAACATGTTTAACAAAGTGGCAAAGGCCGGATTAAGGATTGAAACACAAGAAATGGTTGATTCCTCTAT